GCGCGCGCGCGCGCTCGCACGCGCCTTCAGAACTAGTCTTCCACTACTTCCACCTCCTTCTTTGGCCAAAGTAAGCCACAGGCCAGCCCAGATTTAAGAGATGGGAAATAGGCTCCACCTCTTGATGAGAAGAGGGACAAAGTCACATTGCAGCCTTAGCTTCTCTGTGCCTCAGCTTCCTTATTTGAAAAATGGTATGGTGCCTCCTTCATAGTGTGAGGTGAAGATGAAATGGTGTACACTCCCTGCCCAGCTGAGTACCTGTCTATGGTGGGCTGGAAGCCATTTCTACTGTTAATCATTCCTCCCCTTCTCTGCCCATTGGCCAGTGCTCTTCCAGCTGAAGCTCCCCAGGACCTTCAGGAAGGCAGGCGGCCCAGCTCCGGATCCACTCTCTCCATGGCAGTACAAAACTCACAGCCAACAACTCCTTCTCAAAAGCGTTTCCTGCAAAGAAAGGGAAAGGTGAGCAAAGAGGATCAAAGGACACTCCCCAAAGAAGTTTGAGCAGAGAGCTGTGGATGGCTGACACAGCAGCTGAAAATTGGCAGGGTTCTCTTGGGGTGTCAAGCTCCCTGGTCTGAGATTTCCAAAACTGGACTAAAATAAACCTGAAAGCTGCAATTCAGGGCAATATATGTTTGCCCTGTAGATGCAGTGTAGGATAGAAGGCTGAAGATGCCTGGTTCCACCTTTCAGGAAGTTGACAGCCATGGTGTGGCATGGTGACAGAATAAAGTAGGTGATTAGACAGCTGACAAGGCTGAATGTACTTGGAAGTGGCCTTCTGAACCAATGGGAAGTGCAGGAGTAAAGATGTGGGTGAAGTCCAGGCTGACAGAGAGATGGGTGACCAGTGGTCTCTGCAGTGTGCTCAAGCCTGTGGGGACCTCCTACCCGTCTCAGGCAGGCTGGTCTCTGTTGAGGGGTCAGTTTGCTAAGCCAGTGCTGGACAGTGAGTTTGGGATGGTCCAAAGATGCACCTTCTGCCACTAAACAGCTCTGGCATCAGCCCTCAGAGCCACTTCTGGTACTTAGAATAGCACCCTTATCTCAAAGTACAATATTACCATTAGCTGAAATACTGTTTTAACAACCATACAGTGTTGCAGCAACCCTGAGGGCGATCAGTGCCCCCTGGAGCTGTTACAAGTCCCTCCCAGGCAAGCTGTTCACTGAGGAAGCTGCCTCTGCCAGGCCTTCTGTTTTAGCATCTGGACCCTTTTGGAACTTCAGACCCAGATGCCCCCAGAAGGCTTTGTCTGTCTGCCTGTGGCAGAGAGATTTGCTTAAAGCCCCTCAACAAATTAGAGACGAGTTGAACCTGGAGTAGCCTTAGGGCATTATTTTCCTGTGTGGCCCTGGGCTCCCACACTCCCTGCCTAGTCCCTGCTGCCCTCCAAGATCACTCTCAGGTCCTCATGAACTTGCGGGGCGCAGAAACGGGTTCAGGAAAACTTTTTACCTTCTTTACTTTTCTTTCTCATTACTCACTAAAGACGTTTCTACTCCGGACTCTCTCAGGATACAGGTCACGCCTGGCTGAACCTTTGGCCTCTTGAGACAGGAATAATGCTGTGTACTCTGGGGACACATTAGAAGACCCACCCAATCTTCTCATTCACTGGTGTTGGACATGGGCGAGTTTCTTAACCTCTTAGAGCCTCAATTTTCTGCAAAATAAGTTGAGAATATGTTACCTCACAGGTCGATGGCTGGGTCTAAATAATCATGGATATTAAAGTATTTCCCAGGTCACAAGTGTGATACAGACATAAAGTGCTGTGAAACAGAATGGCCGCCCCTACATGCTATTAATTCAACATCCAGAGCTAGAAAAATGTTTCATCTAATCCAAATATAAAGGTATTTTTGTTTAAAAATCTTCTTATTACATATAATATATATTTGTACTATATAAGCTGTTTTATAATTTTGATACATACATACAAAATTATGTAACTGTGCATGAATTATGGCGCTTACAATGAAGTAGACTCCCAACTTAAGAGCTAAAACATCACCTAAACCACAATACCCTCCTATTAAGCTGCTGCTTTCAGATGCCTGGCCTAGGTAAGGCCTCAGCCCTGTTTAGCACCATGTCACTGAAACCTGTTTCTTGTTGACTCTGTGGAAGGGAGTGCTGGTAGGTTGTGGAGGGATGTGAGCCCACAGGGAAACCCAGTCCCGAATCTAGGGATCCAGCCCCATGGAATGTTGACTTCTCTACTGTGAGTGACTCTGGGTGTTCCCCCAGTTTTCCAGGCCGGAGTTCATCCTGCTAGCTGGAGAAGCCCCTGTGACTCTGCATCTGCCTGGATCAATTGTGGTAACTGCCGGGGTTAGACTGAGCAGGGCAGGAGGGTGGTGAGGGAACTGACCAGATGGGCAGGCCTGGAGGCTGACTGAGCTCTGACTGGGGTGTCAGGCTGGGAGGGCCCCAGTGGTTCTTACTCTGTCCTCCAGGCTCTGCCAGAGACCTTTTTGCTTCACATCCTTTAGTACTTATACCTTTTAAGAGGAATCTTTGTGACTTTTAGTTAAGTCCTGCTTGTTCTTCCAGACTCAACTCAGCCTTCATCTCCTCATTTAGTCAGAAAATGTTTAAGCATTTAGTAGGTTCCAGACACTATTCCAGGCCCCAAATCTATGATGTGAACAAAAACGCTCTTCTTCATCTGGAACTTACATTCTGCAATTTACACATTTGTCTATTTTCTGGGGTAGAAAAGTCCATCTTCCTCCTTTTGGCTCTTGTGCCCCAAACCAGACACATTGTAGACCCCCAAAGGGGTTGCAGCCTCTGTGTGGAGAGGCACTTGATACCTGAATTTGGGGTGAGTGAGAGGCTTGTCCTTGCTGAGCCGATCTCAGAGAGAGCTTTGGTGCTGCTGGCCCAGAGTGGGGACAGCTGTTGCCATGCTCTGCTCTGAGATGTCTTAGAGTATGTGGGCCTAATTGGGACCCTTCCTGAGCCAGCTTCTTACAGAAGAGAAGTGCAACAGTGGAATATGAGCTTGTGGCTGCACTGGATGTAGGGTGGCAGAGGTCACAGGGTAGGAAGGGGGAAGGGGAGGCCAGGCAGGTTTTGGAACACAGGCAGCTCAAACCTATAGCCAGAGGTGGGTAGATAGGACCACTGTGAGCCCAAGCTCTGTGCAGGCTCCACTGTCCCATTAGACTTCACTTAGAAAACACACATTCAAAGATAATAATTAAGATTTCAAGAAGGCAACTACACAGCATTAAACCCAAGCACAGGGCCCTTCAGAGCACATGGGATAACTCCCGCACTTCCCCCTGTTCCAGCCTTGATGCTGCCACAACCTGGGACTCGGTTGCTGGCCACCGGCTCCATCTGTGTTGTGCTGTGTTCTCTTCTCTTCTGTTCTCTTCTGTTCTCTCCTCTCCTCTCCTCTCCCTTCTCCTCCCCTCCCTCCCTCTCTCCATCTCTCTGCATCTCTCTCCCTCCCTCTCTCCATCCCCCACCTCTCTCTCGTGGCCCCTGCACCCACATGTTATCAGGTGTACAGCAGGGTGGGAATCATGGTGGTTCAGAGTGTGCCATGTGATCAGCTCTGCCCAGAATCCCGTGGGAATGCCCTCCCACAGGATTCTCAGATCTGTACTGGTCCCTGGAGTATGGGGGCTACCCTGGGTGTAAGGAGGGTCAGGATGTGACTGTAGGCATCTTGATAGTCACGAATGGACTATTCTCTAAGAACTTCCCTGGGGAGGTCCGGGCCAGGCCCAGGCTGGGCTTTGGGGTACAAGCTGCCATGGGAGCAGAGAAGAGAGAGTGTAACTGTACATTCCAGGGTACAGCTGAGGGTCCTGAGCCTGATCTGGAAGACTCATAGGAACTTACCATGTAGAGACAGAGGGGAAGAGCATTCCAGGCAGTGGGCAGTATGTGCAGAGACACAGGCACACCAGCCTGGGGGTCGGGGGTGGAATGATGAGTCTTTCTGTGCTGCTGAGCAGAGGCCGCTGTGGTCAGGGTGAGGCTGTGTGAGTGAATGAATCTAGAATTAATCTGAGTGGGTGAAGAGGCAAAAGGCTAACTGCTATGAGTTTTTGGCTGAAATTCTGCTGACCCATTTCTTGATGCATAGTAATCCCCTTGCTCCAACCCTCTCTCTTCACTGGATCTTTGCCAGCCCAAACTCATTCTGCTGTGCTCTGGGGGACAGTATCAGGTTGAGGGATACTCGAGGGTGTGTGATTCATTGATAAACCACACCTTTTAGACTGCAGAGCCCAAGGGGCAGCTGAGCTTTCTGTAGGGGAGAGACATCAGTGGGATCTGCCTTCTTGGCCCTCTTGGCTTCTGCAGAGCCTGGCAGAGAGTGTGGATTTGAGTTCTGCTCTGCCTCTTACTATCTGTGCCACCATGAATAAGTAAGTCCCTTACCATTTCTGAACCTCATTTCTCATTGCTGAATAGTATCGAAAACATGCTCATCTCTTAGGGTTGTTTCTCAGTGACATATAAAGTGCTTAGCATAGCAGCTATCCAATGGTAAAGACTCCATGTCTTGTAGTTGTTGCAATTGATGCTATTATTGTTTTCAGACCAAAAAAGGGAAATCCTGTTTGACTCTCAGAGACCTCTGTGTGATACTGCTGAGTGGGCAGTGTCTGGAGGTGAAATGTGACATCACGTCTACAGTGGGGGCTGTCTTCAATGCTGTCATGTCCTTCACCAACCTTGGGGAGCTCACCTACTTTGGCTTGGCTTATCTGAAAGGTAAGTGTCTCCACAGCTGGCCTGGTGCCTCAGATAACCCAGGCATCTAGGTACCTGAGTACTATTCCTTCTAAAAAAAATGCTTGAGACTGGGACACCTCACCTCGCATACTTAGACATTAGTTAGCATGGCGAAGTCTTCAAGTGCTCACGTGCAAAGTGTCAAGTAAGTGCAGAAGATTGTTATGAAATAGTGCATGTGGGTTTCTGTGATTTGCTAGATCTGGTTGAGCAATCTCAATGCACTGATAAGCAAATGTTAAAAATGTTAAAAAAATATTTCCATCTAGGTGGGAATATAAAATGGTGTAGCTAGTGTGGAAGACAGTGTGGTGGCTCCTTAAAAAATTACAAATATATTTACCATATGATCTAGCAATTCCACTTTTGCATACATATCCAAAATAATTGAAAACAGGTTGCTCAGAGATACTTGTATGCCCATGTTTGTAGCAGCATTATTCACAGTAACTAAAATGTAGAAGCAACCCAAGTATCCATTGATGTATAAATGGATTAGCAAAATGTGGCATATACTTACAATGAAATATTATTCAGCCTTAAAAAGTAAGAAAATTCTGACACATGCTATAATACAGATGAAGCTTGAGGACATTGTGGACATTTTCTTGAGGACATAAAACTAGTTGTGAAAAGACAAATACTGTTTGATTTCAATATATAAGGTACCTAGAGTAGTTAAATTTAGAGACAAAGTAGAATGATGGTTTTCAGAGATTGAGGAAAGTGGAATGGGGAGTTATTGTTTGATGGGTATAGTTACAGTATTACAAGATGAAAATGGTTCTGGAGATGGATGGTGATGGTGGTCGCACAATAAGTGAATGTACTTAACACTCCTGAACTTTACACTTAACTGTGATTAATATGGTAAATTTTTTGTTATGAGTATTTCACCAAAATAAAAATATTTAAAAATTTTCATCTAATCACACAGGACTAACAGGAAATCAGCACACCCACCCTAAGTTAAGAATCCGTTCTGAAGATCCTGAAAGAAAGTGGTTTTTATCTTTCCACCTCTGCCCTTTATTAAGGGTCTTTTCAATTCTATCAACTACAAATATGCCTTTGCTGTAGTCAAAGCCCTTTAACCACCTTGTGGAGGAATGAGAAGCAGACCAAGCTGGGATAATACGGACCTTCAGGTTAAATTCTGGCTCTCTCAGCCCACCTTCCTGGGTATCATAATCTTGGTTTGCTCTTCTCCTATCTCCAATGGGAGAAGCTAGCAAGTTTATTGTGGGATCATTTGGTGTGCCACATGGGTAGGAGGGAGGCTTTATCTCCCCATAGTTCTCAGTAGACTAAGAAAGATCTCTCTCTCAAGTAAAAAGGACAACCATTGCATGCTTTGATCTGATCAGTTGATGTTTGCCCAACCTTTGTAAAGTGTGAATAGAAGAATCTTTAAGAAACATTGTATTTTCATTGATCTGTAATATGCAATTTAAATAAAATCAGTATGCTTGCTCTGGGAGTACAACCTAAGGTTTACCTCCTACTACCTCCTCCTGGCCCGTTGTCAGCCCAGATCCTTCCCATGTGAATATTCTACAGCTGCTTAGCTGGGGTCTCTTGGGTAAATCACTCAAATGTGACCAGTCTGGGATTTGGATATAAACCCACTTGGGAGGGTTTGCCAGCCAAACTATAATAGGGACCTGCCCATTCCCTAGAGAGAAGTGACTCTAAAGGAAGGCTGAGTTGGTATGGGGAGTCAGATTCTGCTGCAAGGACTGAAGGCACAGAAGGCAGGTTTAGATGAGATTTTTTTTTGAGTTTTCGTTAAATGGCATTTCCATATTTATTTACCGACATCTGGTACTTTTTCATTATAAAAAGCCTCTTGTGTCCACCCGGCCTCATATGGGTGGTAAACATGGTGGAAATCAGTTGACATATGATTTGGGAAGCTATTTATCAAAATCATTATATTCACTGGGAGAAGGCACAAAATGGCATAGATGATAGAGGTGCCTCTGGACACTTCCTACACAAAGCCATACTAATAAGACCAGGAGACTTAGGAGCTTTGCTTAGTACATAGAAACAGACACAGAGAGGCAGCTAAATGGGAAGACAAAGAAGCAGAAACCATACGAGAGAGCAGAGCAGAGATCTAGGAATAATGAAGTCAAACAATCTAATAGATGCAGAATTCAAAATGCTGGTTATAAAGATGCTCGATTAACTTAGAGGAAGAATAGGTGAACTCAGTAAGAACTTTAACAAAGATAAAAAACATAAAAATGGAAATGGAAATTATAAAAAAGAACCAATCAGAAATGAAGAATACATTATCTGAGATGAAGAGTATATTAGAAGAAATTAATAGAGTGGATGAAGAAGAGTATAGAACCACCAATATAGATGATGGGAGCCAAGGTTACCCAATCAGAATGGCAAGAAAAAAGAAGCCAAGAATATAATAATAGTTTAAGGAGTCTTTGGGACAAAGTTAAGTGTAAAAACATCTGTGTAATAGCTGTACCTAAAGGAGGAAAGGGAGAACAGGAGTGGAGAAGCTATTTGAAGAAATAATGACGGAAAATGTCCCTAACCTGGTGAAGGAAATAGATATACAAACCCAGGAAGCTCAGAGAGTCTCAAGAAAGAGGAACCCAAAGAGGCCCACACCAAGATACATCATAATTCAAATGCCAAAGGTTAAATACAAAGAGAGAATCTTAAAAGCAGCAAGAGAAAAGCAGTTAGTTAACTACAAGGGAGCACGCATAAGACTGGCAGCTGATTTTTCAAAAGAAACTTTGTAGGACAGAAGGGCTTGGCACAAAATATTCAACCTGATGAAAACTCAGGATATACAACCAAAAATACTTTATTCAGTAAAGCTATCATTTAGAATCAAAGGACCGATAAAGAGCTTCCCAGACAAAAATAAGCTAAAGGAATTCATCAACACCAAGCCAGTATTATAGGAATTGTTGGCAGAACTTCTTTAAGAAGAAAAATGTATCAAAATCATGAATAAAGAATAGTAATAACTGCATTCCTTTCAACAAGTACCTCTAATGGAAAAAAATTCAGTGCTTCAACTAAAGGATAGGGTAGCTAAATGGATAAGGAAACAAGACTCCTACAATGCTGCCTACAAGAGATTCACTTCAGATTAAAAGACATACACAGACTAAAAGGAAGGAGATGGAAAAAGATACTGCCTTGATGGACCTAGAGGATATTGTGCTAAATGAAGTAAGTCAGATAAAGACAAATACTGTGTGACTCCACATACATGAGGAATCTAAAGAACAAAAATAAGCAACAATAACAACAAAAATGAAGCAAGCTCATAGATACAGAGAACATTTTGAGGGATATTAGAGTGGAGGGGAGTTGGAGAGTATGGTGAAAAAGGGCGAAGGGATTAAGAAATACAAATGGATAGTTACAAAATAGTCATAGAGAGATATAGTATAGCATAAAGAAACTAGTCAACAGTATTGTAATAAATATGTAAGGGTGAAGAGGGATACTAGATTTAGTGGGGTGATCATTTGAACTCTAATCACTATACTGTACAACAGAAACTAATATATTATTGTATGCCAACTATAATTGAAAAAACTCATAGAATTGTACAATGTAAATATGAGCAACCAATCATCTATTATATTTCAATAAAGCTAGAGAAAAGTTATTATATTCACTCCTGACTTTTTTTGAAGTCATGCACCCCAAAAGTATTTTTTAAATTAGTTTTTATTTTTTAATTGCAGTTGACATTGAATATTATTTAGTGGTTAGACATTTGTATAATTTACAAAGTGATCTCCCTGATGATTCTAATATCCATCTGGCACTAATACTCATCTGGCACCATACATAGTTATTACAATATTATTAACTATATTCCCTGTGCTGTACTTTACATCTCCATGACTATTGTGTAAATGCCAATATGTGCTTATTAACTCCTTCAACTTTTTCACTCAACACCCCAACCCTCCTCTCATCTGGCAACAGTCAGTTTGTTTTCTCTATCTACGACTCTGTTTCTGTTTTGTTTGTTCATTAATTTTGTTCTTTAGATTCTACACATAAGTGAAATCATATGGTATTTGTCTTTCTCTGTCTGACTTATTTCACTCAGCATAATACCTTCCAGATCCATCCCTGTTGTCACAAATGGTAAGATTTCATTCTTCTTTTATGGCTAAGTAATAGTAAATTATATATATGTACCATATATTCTTTACCCAGTCATCTATTGATGGACACTTAGGTTACTTCCATATCTTGGCTATTGTGAATAATACTGCAATGAACATAGGGCGCATACATTTTTATGAATTAGTGTTTTCAATTTCTTTGGATAAATACTAAGAAGTGGAATTGCTGGGTCTTATGGTAGTTCTATTTTAAAATTTTTTGAGGAACCTCCAAGATGTTTTCCACAGTGGCTGCACCAATTTGCAATCCTACCAACAGTGCATGAGAATACTTTTTCTCTACATCCTTACCAAATCTTGTCTGTTGATTTATTGATGATGGCCATTCTGACAAGTGTGAAATGATATCTCATGTTTATTGGCGAAATGTCTATTCAAGTCCATTTTTAATTGGATTGTTTGTATGAGTTCTTTACAAATTTTGAATATTAACCCCTTATCGGATATATCATTGGCTAATATCTTCTCACAAATGGTAGGTTGTCTTTTCACTTTGTTGACAATTTCTTTTGCTGTGTAGTTCCCTTTGTTTATTTTTCTTTTGTTTCCCTTGCTTGAGGTGATACATCAGAAAAAAATATTACTAAAACCAACGTCAGAGTTTATTGCCTATGTTTTCTTCTAGGAGTTTTATGGTTTTGGGTCTTGTATATAAGTCTTTAATTCCTTCTGAGTTTATTCTTGTATGGTGTATAAGGTGGTCTAGTTTCATTTTTTTTTTTTTTGCATATGTCTGTTCAGTTTTATCAACAACATTTATTGAATAGACTGTCTTTACCCCAGTGTATATTCTTGTTTTCTTTGTCATAGATTAATTGACTATATAGAAGTGGATTTATGTCTGGGCTCTCTATTCTGTTCCATTGATCTATGTGTCTGTTTTTATGCCAGTACCATGCCATTTTGATTACTACAGACTTGTACTATAGTTTGATATCTAATAGCATGATATCTCCAACTTTGTTCTTCTTTCTCAAGATTGCTGTGGCTATTTGGGGTCTTTTGCAGTTCCTTATATATTTTAGGATTATTTGTTCTAGTTCTGTCAAAATGCCAATGGCACTTTTGACAGAAATTGCATTAAAATATAGATTGCTTTGGGTAAGATAGGCATTTTAATGATGTTAATTTTTTCTATCCATGAGCACCATACATGTTGCCATTTATTTGTACCTTCTTCAATTTTTTCTTCAATGTCTTATAATTTTCTGAGTACGGGTCTTTTATTTCTTTGGTTAAATTTATTCCTAGGTATTTTTTTGTTTTTTGATGTAACTATAAATGGGATTATTTTCTTAATTTCTCTTTTTGATAGTTCATTATATAAAAGTACAATAGATTTCTGAATATTAATTTTGTATCCTGCTACTTTACTGAACTGATCGATCAGTTATAATAATTTTCTGGTAGAATCTTTAAGGTTCTCTCTATATAGTATAATGTTATCTGCAAATAATGACAGTGTTACTTCTTCCTTTCCAATCTGGATGCCTTTTATTTCTTTTTCTTGTCTGATTGCTGTGGCTAGGACTTCCAATACTATGTTGAATAGAAGTGGCAAAAATGGAAATCCTTATCTTGTTTTTGATCTTAAAGGAAAAGCTTTCAGCGTTACACTGTTGATTATGATATTGGCTGTCCATTTGTCACATATGGCCTTTATTATGTTGAGGTGTGTTCCCTCTATCTCCACTTTGCTGAGAGTTTTTATCATAAAAAGGTGTTGGATTTTGTTAAAAGCTTTTTCTGCATCTATTGATTGATCATACGATTTTTATCCTTTATTTCATTTATATGGTATGTCATGTTAATTGATCTGTGGATATTGAACCAACCTTGCATCCTAGAAATAAATCTCACTTGATCATGGTGTATGATTTTTTTTAATGTATTGCTGAATTCAGTTTGCTAATATTTTGTTGAGAATTTTTGCATCTATATTCATCAGAGACATTGTCTTAAATTTTATTTTTTTTAATGATGTCTTTGTCTGATTTTGTAATCAGTATAATGCTGGCCTCATAAAATGAGCTTGAGAGCCATCCCTTCCCTGGAATTTTTTGGAAGAGTTTGAGAAGGGTAGGTATTAATTCTTTGAATGTTTGGTAAAATTCACCCATGAAGCCATCTAGTCTGGGACTTTTGTTTGTTGGGAGTTTTTTGATTATGAATTCGATTTTGTTAGTAGTAATTTGTTTGTTCAGATTTTCTGTTTCTTCCTAATTCAGTCTTGGAAGATTGTATGTTTCCAAGAATTTATTCATTTTTCCAGATTGTCTAATTCATTGGCATGTAGTTATTCATAGTATTTTTTTATAATCTTTTGTATTTCTGTGGTGTTGGTTGTCAAATCTCCTTTTTCAGTTTTGATTTTGACTATTTAGACCCTCTCATGTTTTTTCTCAATGAGTCTAGATAAAATTTTGTTTATCTTTTCAAAGAATCAGCTCTGAGTTTCATTGATTTTTTTCCTATTATTATTTTAACTCTATTTCCTCTTCAATCTTTATTATTTCCTCTCTTCTACTCACTTTGTGCTTTTTCTTTTCTTTTTACAGTTCCTTTAGGTGTAAGTTTAGATTGTTTATTTGAGATTTTTCTTTACTTTTTCTTTATTTTATTTTATTTTATTTTTTTGAGGTAGGACTGTATTGCTATGAATTCCCTCTTAGGACTGCTTTCACTGTGTCCTATAGGTTTTGGGTTGTTATATTTTCATTTTCATTTGTGTCAAGGTAACTTTTGATTTCTTCATTGATATCATTGTTAACCCATTAACTGTTTTGTGGCATGTTATTTAATTTCAATGTTTGTCTGTTTTTCAGGTTTTTTAAAAAAATAATTGATTTCTAATTTCATACCTTTGTGATCAGAGAAGATACTTGATATGATTTTGATTTTTAATTTATTGAGACTTCTTTTGTAGCCTAACTTGTGCTCTGTTGGAAAATGTTCCATGTGCACTTGAAAAGGATATACATTCTGCTTTTATTGGTTGTAATGTTCTAAAAATATCAATTAAATTTATCTGGTCTCATGTGTTATTTATGGTTACTGTTTCCTTGTTGATTTTCTGTCTAGAAAGATCTGACCATTGGTGTCAACGGAGTGTTAAATTCCCCTACCATGACTGTATTTTTGTCAATCTCTCCTTTTATGTCAGTCAATATTTGCTTAAAATATTTAGGTGCTCCTATGTTGGGTGCATAAATGTTTAGTAGGGTTATGTCCTCTTGTTAGATTAATCCCTTTATCATTATGTAATGCCCTTCTTTGTCTCTTATTATAGCTTTTGTTTTAAAATCTATTTTGTATGATATAAGTATTGCTACCCTAGCTTTTTTTCATTTTCCTTTGCATGAAATATCCTTTTCTATCTCTTTACTTTCAGTCTGTATGTGTCTTTCAATCCGAAGTGGGTCTCCTGTAGACAGTGTATGTATAAGTCTTGTTTTCTTATCCATTCAGCTATGTCTTTTGATAAAAACGTTTAATCTACTTACATTTAAGTAATTAGGATAGGTTCATAGTTATTGCTATTTTATTATCCATATTTATGTTATCCCCCTTTTTTTCCTGAAGAAGTCCCTCCAACATTTCTTCTAATACTGGTTTGGTGGTGATTAACTACTTTAGTTTTTTCTTGTCTGAGAAGCTCTTTATCGCTTTCAATTTTAAATGATAGCCTTGCTTGGTAGAGTAGTCTTGGTTGTAGGTCTTTGCTTTTTCTCCGCTTTAAATATTTTATGCAGGCCAGTCCCTTCTGGTCTGCAAAGTTTCTTTTGAGAAACCAGCTGACAGTCTTATGGGAGCTCCCTGTAGATAAGTAACTGCCTTTTCTTTGCTGCTTTTATGATTCTGTGAGTTAATCTGTGTGTGCACCCTTTAAGAGGATGCTTGGTTTTTCAGCAGCCTTCTCTCTCACCCAGGAGAATGGATTCCCATTGATTTTCACTGTCAGAATTTGTGGGGATCCTCTTCCTGGTACTGATGCTTTGTGCTGGGGAGCCTGATATAGGGCTGGGAACCCTCACTCCTCAGGAAGGACCTCTGCAGTTGAGATATGTCATTTCTCAACCACCACAAATGGTGGTAGGATCAGCTTGTTTCAAATCTCTGCCCTTCCTACCAGTCTCCACATGGTTTCTACTTTAGATCCTTAATTATAGGACTTCTGGCTAGTCTTCAGATGGTACTTTAGGTTGGTCTATAATTTAGTTGTAATTTTGATGTGGTCCTGGCAGAAGGTGAACACAGCATTTACTTATTCTTCCATCTTGGCCAGAACTAGATACCCCTAAAATGTATTAAGCACTTAATTTTGTTTTTCTATTGTTAATTATTTTCATTAAATTAAACCAGTAATAAAACAGTTTGCTAATTGGAAATTAGTCTATATTGTTAAAATCAGACATTGGGCACTGTACAGTGTATGTTATTTGAACTTCTCTGGACACCTTCTTTCCTCTCTCAAGCATGCATATGCTTTGGGGAGAACCTGGTTATCTTTGTGGAAGCTTTGCCTTCCAAAACTTGGCACAACTTTTGTGCCCAGATCACCTTTGGGATGAGAGTATAGAGCATGGAGAAGAGTGTGGGGGCAATGCAGGCCTGGAACAGACCTGCAGAGTTCCCAGAGTAGTGGGCAGGGTACCCAGGCAGAGAGTGGAGGGAGTCTAGTTTTGCTTTGATGAGAGCAAGGATGGAGGCAGGGCCTTCAGTGGCTGGGGCTGATTCATCCTGGAGGTGCTCGAGGGCAAAATTAATAGGAGTTGAAGTCCTGAGCTTGGATCGGTGGAGTTTTCAAGCTGGCAATATTCAGGTCAAAAGGCAAATGTGTCTACTTATGCCCTTAGTCAGCTCAGGCTGCTATAACAAAATGTCATACACTGATGCCTTTCAAACAATAGACATTTATTTCTCACAGTTTTGGAGGTTGAGAAGTCCAAGATCAGGATTTGAGCAAGGTCAGGTTTAGGGCCCCCCTCCTGGCTTGCAGACCACCTTCACACCATATCCTCACATTGCAGAGAGAACTCTTGTGTCTCCCTCTTATTATTACACTAATCTCATCATTAGGGTCCACCCTCATGACCTCATCTAAACTGAATCACCTTCCAGAGGCCCCACCTCTAAGTATCATCACAAGTGGAGGTGGCATTAGAGCTTTAATATATGAATTTTAGGGGAACACAAACATTCAGTTCATAACATGCCCATGGCTGGGGACTCCTGGGCTCCATCCAGTTGACGCACAGGGCCTGGGCCATAGCAGGAGTGGAATAAATACTCATTCTTTTGTTTTTCATTTTATCTCCATAAGATGGTAGCAGGAAAGCAAATAGTAGTGATACCGTCTCTAAGGGAGATAATCACACTTTCTCCTCTTGGTGCTGAGTTTCTCTTCCTTGACTTTCTCTTGTCTCCAGCAAAGGTCCCGTAGTAGCAGGTGTCCAGGGGAGTTTCTTCCTGCTTTCTCCTGCACTCAGACAGTTTCTGTTTGATCCTTCTGGGCAGGGCTCAGGGCTATGGATCTGAGGGGTGGTGCCTGCTTGACTGCTTTCCCTTTCAAACACTCTCTACTTCCATTATCAGGCAAAGAGTTCTTTTTCCTGGACAACCAAATAACATTATGCAAAATAGCCCCGGAAGGCTGGAGTGAGCAGCCACAGAAGACCTCCTCAAGAGCCTTCACCCTCTTTCTGAGGATCAAGTTCTATGTCAGTCACTATGGGCTGCTCCAGTAAGTGCTTCAGACTTGTATCTTTGTTCCTTAAGGGATATGTATGTCCAGGCTGACATTAGAGATAATAGATGGAAAATGCTTGGTGAACTGTAACTTATGTATAAATAACAATTATTGTGGTTAATATTCTTTTGATAGAAAAGGGGGAAATTCAGTCAGGGTTTGGGGGCAAGCTCTGGCCAAAATATGAACTTGCTCTTTTGTCTCAGACATACTCCACTCCAGGTCAAAGTTCTCCCTCCCTTGTCCCCAACATGCCTCTCCTGCAGAAGCCCAGTCATGAGGATTAAAGAAGAGGGTCATGGCTTTGAATTTGGTCACAGCCTGTTTGTTCCTTTGCTTACTAAAAACACCATCTAACTGAATATCAGTCTTCTTTCTTGAACCACAGCAACACACATATCCGTGGGTGCTGTGTGAAGTGCATGCTACAGAGTAGCCCCCAACTGTGGCAGGAGGCATAGTATGTTTAAAAGAGACTACACTTGTCTAACTGGCATTTCCTCTGGATTCTACTGGCTTGTATCCTGCCTTCTCTCCTTTTCCTCCTTCCTAGACTGAAAAAATCTTCTGTGTTTAGTGTTCTCCCTCCCTCTCAGCATTCCAGTGGCCTTTATTTCTGCACTTCTTTTCCAGGCAGAGCTGGACAAGACATCAATTTTACCTGCAGCTTCGAAAAGACATCCTAGAGGAGAAGATGTACTGCAATGATGAGATGCTGCTACAGTTGGGGGTCCTAGCCTTGCAGGCTGAGTTTGGCAGTTACCCTGAGGAGGTAGGAGTGGAAACCTGGGGCCCTTGGTTGGGTCATCAAAGAAGCAGCTATAGGACAGGAGGAAACTGTTAGAAATATGGAGACTGAAACTTTGAGAAGTGTTGTTAGCATCTACCACTGAGATAGGGGCAAACTGCCTCCATCCATCCATCCATCCTTCCATCTGCCATCCATCCATCCATCCATCCATCCATCCATCCATCCATCCAACCAATAAGCATTTATTGAGTGCTCTTTGCTAGCACTCAATAAATGCTTATTGGTTGGATGGATGGATGGATGGGGATACAAAAATGAACAAGTCAAGTTTATGAATTGTGATTCAGTTCTTAAGGTCCCTTCTAACAATGGTAATTTACTAATTTTTTGAGTTATCATCATCATCATCATCATCATCATCATCATCATCATCATCATCATAATCAATAACAGCCAACCTTTATTAAGAGATCACTCTGTACCTGCCATAGACCTAGACATTTTCTGCTGTGTTAATTCACTTAACCATCAAAACAACATTGCAAAGTTGATACTCATTTTCTGGAAGAACAATCTGAGACTTATGAGGCAAGAAAATTGTAAAGTGTAAATTTTAGCGCAGGTGTGTCTGACTCCAAAGTCAATGCTGGTTCTGCCAGCTGCACTGCTTCTCAAATGGCCTCTCTAATCTTGTTGGCCAAGCCCTTGTCCCTGAAGCAGAATCACATGTAAGTTTCTTTAATTTAATTTGCCTACAATGGTCCTATGTTACAGTCTTCAGGGACTTAGTAGAGGCTACTAGTTATTTAATTTGTAGATTCATCAACATAGGGAGAGATAATGCTAATGTATTTATTATCTTAATTAGGATTTAAAATGAAGATGCCAAGCAGGAGTGAGGGAACAACCAGATGAGCTATGACAGAGAGCAGAGCAGCTTTTCTCTTGGGTCCATTAAGTCCCCCACCCATATTCAAGATGAAGAAAAAGGGGCTTGGTGAAAGAGCTCAATAAAGACTGAGGATGTGACCCAGCATTGTGGTGTGGCATCCAAATGTGGAGTATGTTTCTGGCTGCATCAGTAGGAGAAGAAAGAGAGATTAAGATCCCACTGACCTCTTCCCAGGTGACCTCTCAGCCAGTGCACTGGGCTTTATCTTGGAAGGTATCACCACTGTCATATGACAAAAACTGAGTGCCTATGGGGGGCACTTAATTAGGAGAAGAGGTTCTCTAAAGAAGACCTAAGAGGTGTGTGAAGGAAGAATCCATTGCTTGAAAGGAAAAATGAAGTTTAACCCTTATGTCCTTGAGCCTTTGAATGCTTTCTCAGTAGTGTCTGCGTGTCCAATCTGATCTTAGCCACCCTCTAAAGCCATCCCACAGCTTTCCTGGCCTCTCCACGATGGGAGAAACCCTCGCTACACCCTCTGGACACTTTTGAATATCTCCTCCACACCCCTTGTCCAGGTGATTTCGCAGTGTTCTCTTAATAGCAACTGACAGAAAAGCAAACTCAGATTGGCTTAAATAAAACATATAATTTATTGGCTTGCAAACCTGAAATGTCCAGGCCTTCCTGCCCCTTGACAAACCTCCAGTCCTGTCATTGCTGACCTTTGTAACTTCCTCCTGTTTCCTTGGACTCCAGGGCTGGGGAGCCTAAGTGTGCCTACAGCTTGCTGGGTACAGGGACTCAAATGGTGTTGGCAGGACTTGGGCTTCCTGCGTCTCTGGGCTTTGGCTCTCCTCAGTCAGGTTTGCTTCAGTGGCTTCTGGATTTCACCCTTTAGATTGCAGCCCAGCACCAAGAGAATCCTCTTTCTCTGGAATGCCATAGAAATCCTGGTGTTCTGTTTCATTGGTTCTGTTAGGGTCATGTGCCTACCCTAAGCCAATCACTGTGCAGGGAAATGCTGTGCTCTGGTTAGTTAGACTTAAGTGACATGGCCACCCTAGGAGCCAAGGGTAGAGCTTACACTAAGCAAAATGCTTGCACTGAGAGAGAGGAGGGGTGGTTCCCATTTCTAGAAAAAAGGGGGATGGTTGCACCTGACCAAAAATATATGTCCACTACCAGTGAACACTTAGTGGTCAGGAATGCTATATCTTTGGTGAACGACAATGATGTATTTAGCTGAAGTTTTGAGTCCTTCTGGGGATATCTGGGTCTGGCCTTGTGTTGTAGGTTGAATTGTGTTCCTCATAATTCATCAGTTGAAGCCCTAACCCCCAACACCTCAGAATGTGGCTATATTTGGAGATGGAGATCTTCAAAGTGGTGATTAAGTTAAAATGAGGCTGCCTGGGTGGGCCCTAACCCAATCTAACCGGAGTCCTTATAAGAAGAGTGGATTAAGACATACAGAGAAACACCAGGGATGCGGGAGAACAGGGGAAAGACCATGTGAAGACACAGTAAGGAGGCTGCTGCCCACAAGCCAAAGAGAGGCCTCAGAAGAAACCAATCCTGTTGACACTTTGATCTTGGACTTCTAGCCTCTAGAACTGAGAAAATTAATTTCTGTTGTTTAAGGCACTCATAGCAGTCTGTTTTCATAGCAGCTCCAGCAAACTAATATACCTTGAGTCCGTAAGGGAGAAGCTGCAGCCACTACGAAGTGTGGAGGCCTTGACACAGTTCTGTGTTCTTAATTCTCTCATGGTATGGGGTGGAGAGAGCAAGGGTGTGACCTCAGTCACAACTTGTCTGCTTTGTCCCAGTAACTGGGTTTAAGAACAAGGACAAACTCAAGAGTCGAGATGGTTCTTTGAGAACAGTGGCTTTCGAATGTTTTGTGCCATGCCCTGTGATAAAGACTTAACACAAAGACTTAACTTTTGATCTCTGGATTGAGATACAGGTTGTTAAACCTAAGATCTTAACTCTAGCCTTAGAGTTGGTGGAAACTGTGGTCCAGGTCCACTGAAGGCAAATGGGAGCCTGAGTAAGACCCCTTATTCAGGCCTACATCCTTCTTATAGGATCATTTGCCCCAAGGCTCAAAGGATCAGGTCTGTCTCTAGGTGACCCATTTAGTAACTCCCTGCACCTTTCCAGTTTCTGATCTCACTCTTCCCCTGCCTTATCCTGATCTCATCCTCCACCTCTGGCTTCTCTCCCAGATCTGGCCCAGCCTCAACTGCTACAATTGCCTTGGAGACCAGTGGTTCTGAGTCGCTCTCTGCTGCCCCCAGGTGGCAGACCTTTTCCCCTTACCTCCTGCGTAAAGGCAACAAATTACATAAACCCATTCATTTGTACATCCATTTGCTCAGTCCTAATTTATGGAGGGCCTGCTGTGTGCTTGGATTCATCTAAGCCTATGTCAAACCTGCAGAGCCAGTGTTATTTCCATTTGCAGTAGAGAAAAATTGTGTCTCTGAGGTTAGGTAAGCTGGCGAGAACACAGCCAGGACTCGCTTCTAGAGCCTTGCTTCTTTATGCTCCAGGCAGTGCGTTGAGCACATCAAAGGATGTTAGAGGAGACTCAGAGAGGAGAGCCTTTCCGTGTGTCTCTGTCATTGAGTGGGCAGGTTGAAAAGGCTGCCAGTCCAGAGAGCTGCAGATATTTCACTGCAGCCCTGGCTACAACGGCTGTGAAACCATGTGGCATAGCCAGTCCTATCAGGGAGGAACGTAGTGTGCCCTCCTAAGGGGTTTGCATTTTGTTTGAGAAATGGTTCTGGTGTTGGAAAAAAAAAAATAATTTAGAAACCCCTGTAGTGAAAGACTGAGAATTCTAAGCAGAGAAGTGACATGATTACATTTGCATTTTAAAAAGAGAGACAAAGACAATTTGGTATAAAAATAAATCTCCTTAATCACATCATTGTAGCAGAACAACTTTTTTCTGGGTGACTTCTCTTCCAGCCTTTGATAACATGTGGAGGTTTTATATGGTTGTAAACACTGCCACATTCAATTAGCATTGTGCTTTCTTTTTTTATGGTAAATGACTTCCTGTGGCTTCCTAATTCTTGTTTGGGCTGGCTACATGTTACCCATAGCGGGGCTGGACCTCCACTCATTTATCGGTTCTCTCATTGTCAGGTATCACCTAGAAGTGCTGTGTAAGTGGTAACTACTACTATTATTATTCTAGTTGCTTCTAATCTTTGTTTGTTTCTTTGTATGTTTCTTTATTTGTTTATCTCTCTCTCTCTCTCTCTCTCTCTTTTACAAATGGTATAGAAGTAAATGTGCTGGAGCTTTTTAAGTTCCATGTTGACTTCTTCTCTTGGACATATTCCTAGCAATGAGATGTTGGGTCAAATGTCTTAAATATTCCTAAAAAATGTTTGATAGACTCTTTTTTAAAGAGAAGTTTTAGGTTCACAGAAAAATTGAGTAGAAAGTACAAAGGTTTCCCATATACCACCTGCCTCCACACATGCCCAGCCTCCTCCATTATCATTATTCCTGACCAGAGTGGTACACTTTTTACAATGATGAAACATCACGATCACCAAAAATCCAGTTTACATTAGAGTTCCCTCTTGGTGTTGTACATTCCATGGGCTTAGACACATTTATAATGACATATATCCACCATTATAGTATCCTACAGGGTAGTTTCACTGCCCTAAAAATCCTCTGTGCTCTACCTGTTTGTTCCTCCTTCTACCATTAACCCCTGGCAACCACTGATTTTTTTTTTATTGTCTTTATAGTTTTGCCTTTTCTAATATGTCATTTAGTTGGAATCATATGGTATTGAGTCTTTTCAAATTGGCTTCTTTCACTTAGGAACTTAATTTTTCTCTTTGTCTTTTTATGGCTCAATAACTCATTTGTTGTTAGCACTGAATATTCCATTGTCTGGATATACCACAGTTTATTTATCCCTTCACCTACTGAAGGACATATTTTGCTTCCAAGTTTTGGCAATTGTGAATAAAGCCACTATAAACATCCACGTGCAGGTTTCTGTGTGGACATGTTTTTTTAACTCCTTTGGATGAATACCTAGGAGTATGGTTGCTGGATCATAAGGTAAGAATATGTTTAGCTTTGTAAGAAACTGACAAACTGTCTTCCAAAGTGGCTGTACCATTTTGCATTGCCACCAGCAATGAATGCAATGATCCTATCGCTCCACATCCTCATCAGCACTTGGTATTGTCAGTGTTCTGGATTACAGCTATTCTAATAGCATTCTGAATGCTTTTTTTATGCAGTAGATTGGTGAACAATTTCTTTTGTTTTATGTTTCTGAGCTGAGCTCAGAACTGGTATGGACCTGCCTTAGGTTGGATGATTCTTAATCCACAGCCACATGGGGTCTGGTCTGTGCCATACTAGGAGCAGGGGGATGTAGTGGACATTGTGCTGTTTCTTCACATCCCCTCATCAGGTCAACTTGCCCATCTTCCACCTCACTTTGAAAAGGCCAGATGTTCCTGGCTCCCAGCTTCCTTCCTCACAGGTAACTGGGTAGTTTCCCTCAGCTGTGGGGAAATATCTTGCCTAAGATTAGGTAGGAGGGGCTGCATGAGACCAGGATGAGCTGAATCAGGAACATAAGGGTAGGGTCACTTTCTCCCTATGCCAAGTCCTGCCTCCCTCATTCCTTGCAGTGGATCCCAAGAATACTCCTTTAAATTTTCTGCATATCTATCTCTGTCCCAGAGTCTGTATTAGGGAACCCAGCATCAGGCAGAGGCGATGCCTCTTCCAGCCGCCCTGGTGGGACTGCAGCCTCAGGTTCCTGAAAAAGCAGACTTGAAGAAAGTTCAGGCCTGTGGCAGGGAGGGTGTGACAGATCTTCTCTCATTCAAGGGGCAACTTCTTGATCACCTTCTTGTGGACAGATAGTGTCACAGCAAAGACCTCCTTTGTAAAAGGGAACAGTCCACTAGGAGCACGTGTGCATGGAAGCACTAAATGAATAAAAAAGAAACAAAGTTTCAGGGCCAGGGTTTTTCTGTGCCTTTTGGGTAATAGTATGGTGGCATCATGCATCATGAAATGTGTGAGGGCTTTGGATGACCAAATCTTATTTCTGTCACTTACAAGCAATGTGACCTTGGCCCTGTTGAATGACATCCTTCTTCATTCATTGTGTTCATCTTGGCAACGGCAATAACAGTGCTGTCCCTGTAGGATTCCTATGAGGATCAAAAGAGCTAATATATTATGAGGACCACTGACATACAAAAGAGGCTCAAAAATGGGTTATTCCTCTCTTCTCTCCCTTCTATTTATGTCATATGGTTTGGCTCAACTTCACATATGGTAGAAAAAAGATGTCCCAGGTGAGCACTTCAAAGGAACATTCTTGCCCTGGATCCCTAACCTGGGTTTTGACTGCAGATAGGCTTCTGTTCTGCTCAGGGTCACATAGAAGGCATTCTGGTTATGCCTCTTTACTTCTGTATCTTATTTCCAGCAGGTAGAGAGGAAAGCCTATTTTCGAGTTGAAGATTACATCCCAGCAAGTCTGATTGAGAGGATGACTGCTCTCAGGGTCCAAGTCCAAGTCTCAGAGATGCACCGTCTCAGTCCTGTGCTCTGTGAAGAGGATGCTGAGTTGGAGTTCTTGAGGGTGAGGCCATTGTGCCCTTGAGAAGGGGTGTTGGTGTTCAAAGGCATGCAATCAGCAATCTCCTCTAAAGCCTTTCCTGGAGACTGGATGTACGCAGACCGATGAGGAAGTACAAGCAAGGGACTTGATTCTCTGAGAGGAAGAAAACTCCATCACCCTGTAGGGCAAAGAGAGGCTTCTGGAAGCAAGTGGCATGGGAAATGATCCCAAAAGATGGGTAGAATTTAGTGGGCTGGGTCGAGTATGGCAGGTCATTTCTTTAGCATTAGAGCTCCCAGTCATTTTTCTGTGAGCAGGGTGACCACATTTCTTCTAAATGACATGTGGGACAACTGAAGTACAAAATTGACGTGTGAGCCAAAAGCGAAGCCATTGGAAGATTCCAAATTTGCAGACTTCCAGACAACTGTCTTCAGCACAACAGAAATAGTGTTGTCCATGCATCTGGGTGCATCTCTGGTCCACTCTTTC